GGAAAGTATTCATGGAGGAAATCAAGAAAAAGTCCACAGAGTTCACTTGCCTCTCATACGTCAAAAACATTTTTTAAAATTTATTTGACGTTAATAAATTGATGCATTGTCAAACGAAGCAATTTAATGGATTTGCTCAAAAGGAGCCGAATAGTTCTACTTTGAACCTTAAGGGATCCAGTCGTTGCTTCATAGATGAACCATTTGCAATGTTGCCAAATGATTTGGAGGGTTTCTTCCTCAAATGTCGAATAACGGTTTAACAAATTGTGAGGTTATCAATGGGGAAAATGAGATATTAAACTTATTTACTGTATTAAAAATGTTTTGTTAGGTAAGGTTACGGGGCCACTTTCAAACTTTTCACGTCCCCGTGCCCCGCTGTGCACACGCGAATGGAAGCGGACCCAGCGAAGAAGCCGTCAATTGAGTCCCGTAAGCTGAATGGACCGGGGGGACGCGCGTCTGACCTAGTCACATGGCAGCGCCATGAAGAGGGCGCTGCCGAGGAACGCGAAGTCACTCGCCTCGAAAGGAAGCGACCCGACTCCGCCCGGCCGCATCACGCCAGCCGCCCCGCCCCCCACACCCACCGCCTGCCGCCTCATACGCCAGATACCGTCACACGGCGCGTCGTCGCAGGCCAAGATGGCGCCGCCGTGTGCGGGATAGAGGACACTCTCCAGGCGATTCGTAGGTCCTCGTCCAGGGCCGGCCCGGGCCTGGAGTAGAGCGTGAACAGGACTTGGCGGATGGTACTCCTTTCCGATCATTTTAGCTTTGGAACGTGAGGACATTCTTAGCGATAATATCTAGTGAAAGATATCTATATCTGACTCCCGGAAAATAGTATATGACTTTTTGAGAAAATACAGTTTCAAATAAGTTGTACAAGTTTTATTGTCATTCATAGTGATATTGATATGTACATTTGGTTATAAGTTGGATAATATTAATATAGTTATTTGTTTTTATTTACCGACTGGCAATTAGGCTCATCCATTTTTAGGTAGCTTTATTTATATTATCAATACCAAAATAACGCACTGTATTGTTATTAAAGTAAGTGAAAGAAGACTGGTCATATCACGTATTGACCCGAGATTTTTATGGAAACCTATTTTTAATGCATTTCCGAAAGCATATACATTGATATTTGTGGTTAGATTCGAGCACTTTGAAAGGGATGAGTGAGGATGTTTTTAGCTTATCTTTCCGCCCATTTACGACAACGTAGAAAACCTCCTTTAACCCCTCAATAAGTTCATTTATGTTTGCCCCGAAACCTGAAGTCATTTGAAAACTTCGAAATTTAAAATTGTGGATACCACGACTGCTGTTAAGGATGGTAACAGGCGATATTCCCGGAGGCCTGGATTTAGGGAGCGTGGCTCTTACTTGTATCATGTTTAGAGGTCATTCTTGTTTATTAATATGAATCCGAAATACACAAGAATGTATTTTGTCCGTAATATTTATTAACGTGATATATTAATTACAATTCAAAAAAATAACAGTATAAAAAAATAGGTGAACTATCGTCAATCTACAAAAATGCATCTTATATCTTTAATAAATTTGTCTTCTTTTCTAAATCGCAAATTCTTGTACCTTCAATTAAGACAAATTTACCGTATGTACTAATAAGTGACTTCCGTCTGCTATAGGGTAGTCCGTCTTGGATATCGCTTAGCTGGTAATCCAAAAAATCCATAATAATTTTATAAAGTGCCCAGAGAGGAAGAAAAAGATTAAATACTTATCAATAATCTACCTTTTCTTTCTATATTTCAGGTTTGTCTCATTCGTTTTAGCTGACTTAGCATCTCCCTCGGAAGACAGGCCTTCGAAGGACCTTTCCACACGTAAAGGCGACGGGCTCCACCAGTCTCGAATGCTGCAGTTCAAGTCCGCCCCTGCGGCCCCGCGCCAGACGCGTCGCGTCTCGTTCAAATGATAGCGCTGCGCGGGCCAAGATGGCGCGAGGGGCGGGCGGCGCGGGCGCCCGCGGCGACGCTAGCGCTGCTCCCGGCGGCTGCGGCGGCAGCACGTGCTGACTGTCTGCGCCGCCGGGCGGGAGGGGAAGGGAGGGGCCGGGCGAGTGGGGTGAGGGGGAGGAGGCAGTGGGGCGCGGCGGGAGTCGTCAGTGCGTCACCAGGCGGCGTGCGTGGCGAGACGTGGCACGCCGCTCAGCGGCCGCTGCTGCTGCTTCTCGCTCGCTCGTTCGCTCGCTCGGCCGGCCGCCGCCGCCGTCGCCGCTTCGGGTCGCAGTCGGCGGCGACCGCGTTATCTTATCGGGCGGTGGCGGGCGACCGTTGGCGGCAGACGCGCTTGTTCGCCCAGTGAAGCAGAGCTGCTCCTGTTCGATCGTCGACCGCCGCGCCTCACGCAGTCGCTCGCGCCCGCTCCGTTCTGGCTGACTTGGCGACTTCGGCGGGCCCGTGACAAAGTTCAGAGAAGCGAGCGAGGCGACGGTTTCCCAACCGGCCTGGTCGTCGGGTGGAGGAGTATTTTCGACGCGAGCGCAGCGCCTTGCGTAAGCTCTTTGGTGCGCTGTGTGGTAGTCGTCGCCGGCGGTGGCGGTGTAGTTGCTGGAGAGCCGCCTCCGCCCGTGCGTGGGGGTGGGTGCTCCCTCGCTGCGGCGGAGGGGTTGGTCGGTGTGTGCTGCGCCGCGCGCACAGGGCCTGCGCCCGCCGTGTGCTGCGCGTGCTCTCTCCGCTTCTGCGCGGCGCAGTCCTGCTGCTGCTGCTGCTCCGCGCCGTTCACCCAACGAGGAAGTGACGCGGCGCTCGGGACCTGTTCTCGCCCACACGCCTCGCCTCGTCTCGTCTCGCCTCTCGCGGGAGTGTCTGTTTACATCTTACCGGGCAGCATTAGATTTATTTAAAAAATCTCTAATACTGTCAGGTAAAGATGTCGTCCGCACTCCCATTCAACGTTTGGAACCAACGCTGAAGATGTTTCCGTCGTCGCAACTGCGGTGCGGTCTGCGTGTCGTGGCAAGTGGTAGAGGTCATCAAGAAATCAGAGGTACTCTTCGGTAGTAGCGCATATGATTGATTTATTAACATATTTTTACTTCACGGAACGGGTGACTTAATGTGAAATATGTACGATAAATCGTTGATCTCAACAGCCAGTTTTTTTTGCGACTGGTGGAGTGGTGAATGTTAATATGAATTGTGTAAACGTCGGTTGAGAGGTAAGGAAAGGCAAGCATGTTTCAACTTGGTGCATTCGCACTTGTGGATTATTCACCTCCGGATTCCGATCTGAAAACGCACCCAAGAAATTCTAGTCTCTCGTTGCTGATGGTCACTGATCTACCCGAGTTATTCTCCACAAATTCTAGAAGTCTTTTTCGACGACACATCTGCTCTTTGTAGACTTGCTATTCTAAGATTAATAGTCGGACCTCATAGGTGTTCAGATCGACGATGCAAGAGGCCAGTCAATTGTAGTTAGTTTCGTGGGGAAAAATTGTTGCAGTTCTTTAGAGAAGCCAAGTTCACAAATTTATAAAACTTAAAAAAGTATGTGAATTTATTTAAGAAAAATGTTTACATCAAGTAAGCGTCATATAATGAAGCATATCTTTGAAATTTATGCTTCCTATTTTATAATTTACGCAATCATTTAAACTTCCCTGTAAGAGAGTAGTAACCTATATTTATTTATATTCTCATAATTCTATTTCATTTTTATTGAAATTCTGTCTTCCAATATATTTATTTATTTCAAAAAAATCTCCCAATAGTTCAAGTTTGGATTTCAATCTAGACGTGAAAAGAAAGCGAAATAAAATAGATTTATCACGATTCTGATTTGGTTTTCTAAATGAAACTAATCATCAAATGTGTAAGTCAGTTTCAGGGGCTGTATACCTTTGAGAATTAAATACCGGAGAAGCTTTCTCTACCGTCGCATCTTCATAAAAAACTCCGTGTCCTTGTTTTCTAAAACTGCTTGTGAGCATTGAATGTACCAATAGTTTTTGCATGCAAGAATATTTCAGGGGAAGAATTAGAAAACATTTATTCCATCTCAATTTGAGGCATATCAAGCTATTAAGCTTGAGTTAACCGGCCAATCTAGTAGATTCGTTTGCTTAGCGACCGTATATTTGTCATCAGGTTAACAAATCCACTAAACACGAATGCTTTCTATATGTAGATCGAGTCATTTCACACTTGGCTCCGACTGTTAGAATAACCTTAGATTTTTACATTATTTTCAGAATATGGATCGTAAAAAAAAATATTTCTGAAGATAATTTTCTCAGTAGATTTCCGACTCCAATTGTAAATGCTAAATTGAGAAAATAAAATACTTAAGTTAGTATTGATTAACCAAAAATTAGATAATGGCTAACATGATGTGATATCTCCAGTAGGGAAGTCAGTCGGTGATACGCAATATGGTGTCCGCAAACGGAAGATTTTTCATTTTTTCCTTTCTCTCTGTTTGTGAGACCTCTTATAATCGCAGGGTTCATTGGCAAAGACCCCATTGCTTTTGTAAGATTAGTGGGCATAGATTTCTCTCCTTTTATTACGATAAATTGTTAGGTTGCTCATGTGACGCCTGATACTTTGCAGTTTCGAAGGCGGAGCTCCGAAAAAGCAGTCACTTCAGTTTTTTTCTGGAACGACCAATACAAAAAAGTTCATATTTTGTATTTATGTCAGTTGTAGCCGAAAATTTCCTCTTCGAATGCCTACATTCTGTTGAAAATGCAGCTTTTGCTGTCTTTAAACTTTAATCAGGAGGTGAATAATACTTTAACTTCATATCCACTTGAATCATGTCAATCTGATCAAAATGAATATCCCTTGCTGAGAACCGTTGAGAGTACGTCCCGAACAGCTGTAGTAAATTTATATTAATTATATATTATTTAATGTGTTTGAATAAGTAATCTTCAAATAATTGTAATGTTTTTGGAAATCCCCAAAGCGTATTTTACTCGAAATGCACCCAGTTGTTCATTTACCAACTACATAAAATGAGCAATCCTTGTAGAAAAAATTCCAGGAAAAAACTCCCGAAGTGAAACAGATTTCGAGACTGAACCACTGAAGTATCTTTAAAAATGATTATTCATTAATTTGTCGAAATATACACCCTTCTCGTCGAACAATATAGTTTTCAATCGTAAATTGCGAGAAAAAAATTAAGGGAATTAATGCGGAACAATCCATCCCCCTCTAAGAAGGGGCTATTGCCCTAAACGGAGTGAAGATGGTTATTTCGTATGTGAAACTTCCACAGCAACTGTTTTATTAATGTCATAAAAAATTTGTCTGTTGAGGTACGTTTTATGGCATGATACTGTTCGAAGTTCATTCGATGGCTGATTCAAAAAATTGTATTATTAGATAGATGGAAAATGGGAACTAATGAAAAATGGTTTCCTGATTACTTCAAATCTAATTTTAAACTTAAATTATGTTGCGCATTATTATTCAAAGATAAAAACGTCCTCTCGAAAAAATGCTTCATCAGATAGCCATCGATGTGCCGCACATGTGCTGAACACGTATGACGATTGCAGCCATTTCTCCGGTCAGAGATACTGTCTAGTACTCAACCATGTGTCCTATTTGAATATAAAAGCTGTGTTGTACTTTATCAGGGAGGGTTGAACAAATTTAATTCATGCGTAGTAACTGTTAGTACTTAGATTATAGGAACCCTTAAAATAATAAATTCATCTTGCTTAGTAATGACGTTCTTGACCTGCAATAATCCTCAATTCATCAGCTACAACACTTCCTCTAGTATGAAATCTAAACCTCTCACCAGAAAAGAAATAAAGATATATTCTATTTTACTCTCAATTTTATAAATACGAAAACATGATGTTTGTGAATATTTTCTCCGAATTTTTCATCGTGTCTTAAGCCATCTTTTTGCGCTTATTATTCATATCATTAATCTAGATATTAGTTGCGATTAATGCCATTTTTTAGGTAAGATGCAAGGATTATAATTGGCGTAATTTGTACTTTGATCGGTACATCAGCAACATTTACTTAGTATTTATAATCTTACTTTCGTAACTCGTAGTATGCTATTCGCTTTAGTATAGCCTGGAAATGTCTGGCTATTACCAACTTAAACATTAACTTTACATTTATACATTTAAACTTTATATTTGGCAAACTATGCATAATAAATATCAAATCAAAATAAATATTTTTTGAAGTTAAATTTGTATTAATGTTTGTTGAAGATCCCCTTTATATAGAATATGCTAAGGAGGGTGGCCGACTTTGTTACATTTATAAGGGTCGATCGACACAAAACGCTGTAAGTATGCACTTTTTGTATAAGAAATCCCCCTCTATACCCTACATCAAACAGATTTGAGACAAGAATAGGAAATTCGCAGATTATGATTCTAGAGAAGTGCAGGAACACGCGCAGTCCTTAATGTTAAGCGACAAAAACTCTGAACCACGCGCCCTAGACTCTTAAAAACTGTTTTGTTTCCCCAAGGGACACAGATTACACTTCTTTTGTCATTACCTTCAAAATTAGATTTTTTAACGTGCAATCGTTTTGGAGGGTACCCCCATTTTGTAACCCCCCGCTTCCCAAAAATGCAAAATGCGAAATGTTTTCCCTGGTTCAACTATTGTAAAAAAATATTTTTCATTTCTGACGAAAGTGAGAGAAAAATATTATTCACATTTTAATTGATTGATCGATTTTAGTTGTCAGTCAGGTTTTTCGTCCAATTTTCTTGATCCATTGAGCAAATGCAGATGGTCCCTGGGTTTGCTTTTAGACAAAATTAAGCTTTACTCTTACATTCGTCATATAGTTGTCAGGCTTTTCAATAAATAAATTCGCGCGCACTAATAACTGAACCACCCTCCTCTCAATAGTGAAGTGGTAAGTTTTCAATCACATCACAAAAACCGATCTGTTCATTTCAATGCCATTAACTACCGCCCCCTCACGTCATTGATGTGTCATCTCCTGGCTGTGGTTCGGTTCTCCTTATTAGTAATTTCACTAGAGGTTTGAAACTTCGCGAGCACGAGTGAAGTTCAAAGAACGAGTGGAATTCAATTTCACGAATGTACGTCATAAATCGATTAAATAGAACGAAAATAATGTTAGGAAAAGGCGAAACTTCAGACGCTATATTAATTAGAAAGGTTTACATAACGGAAGGAATCTTAATTTTATTTTTCGAAACATTAGAACCTCATCGGCGGTAAGACGATAGCGAAAATTCCACATGTGAACTTATTTATTTTAGACGCCTGTGATTGGTTTATAATCATCTTACTATACAACGCTATTGGCCGGATCGAAAGTAATAAGTCACGAGTGAGAAAGTCGCAATTAGAACTTTTTCCGCCGCGTGGCGGCGCTGGGTGCGCATGCTGTGGCGCCCGGTGGCCTTGGCGAAGCAGGCGGCGAGTATGTGCTGCGCATCGCATATGTGTTGGCGTCGCGCCGCGCATGCGCACACATCTGCGAAATAGTATGCACTACTTGAAACGATCGCCCAGAGGCAGCACGTGTCACTTGCAGCGTATTTGCGCCACCACCACGTATTTTTTCTAAATTTATATGGATTTCATTAGTGCATTTAATACGCATGTGTTTCATTTGCAAGATTAATCTCACGAGTCATTATCTACAAATCATTATTCGATGATCTTGCATTATCTACGAATGAGATTCCAGAGAAGGATACGCACGTGTACTACTTCTTTAATGGATATATCGCAATATCTGAGTAATTGTTGATTCCGAATCCGAAGAACCCCAGAAGTGACATTGCACATTCGCATTTTCTAAAACTACGAAATCATTGGTCAAAATGATGCGTGTAAATGGGGTCCGAGAGAAGGGCACGTCATATCTCAGAGATGGCTATGTACTTCCTCCGATGCAACGTGATACTTCTCTCCCCCCTCCCACTACGTGATGAATAGTTTTAACTCCCCCTTTTTTGACGCGAACTGGATTTTCTATAGACCACGCGAGCGTGCAGTTATATCCACTAAGGCCGAGTCATATTTTTCCTAGAGGTGTGCACGTGAAACATTATTAGGGAGAATCAGGATTTCTGCTGAGTCCATTTTTAAGCCGCAGGGTTGTTAGTCCTGGGGGTATGGAAGATGAAATGATGATGATTATGAGGGGTGAGAGAGGGCGTCACACATACAGACAAACAAATTTGCCCATGCCCGAGGCAAGACTCGAACCCGCAATTGTTTGGTCCGAGACCGTTACGGCACTACTGCCTTATCGATCTCATCCATCTAACCGGCTTCTTTTTCTTTTATTATTATTTTTTCTGAAAATCAAAACAAACAGATCCGGTGTTGACCTTCACTTCCGTTTGCAAGGTATCTCTCCCAAAGATACACCACCCCAGCTGGGACAAGCTCCTGACTGGGTTCTGGCCACGTGGAGTAGTGTAGTGCCATCAAATGTCAGGGAAAAATAGGGGTCACGTTTGAGGAAAGAATGATCGCATGCGGACAGTTTGTTAGGGCACTACTCGCTTGGTATTATTCTGAGAACCACGGAAAACTCCCGATCATAGCAGCCGGCTGCTAGAAGTCTGTTGTAGGCAGGAGTCAAATTCATCCGAGGAATGTAGTAGCCAGTGTGGGAAATCCGACACCATCAAGACTAATCGTAGGACTTCGGGCCAACGATGGAGTGCAGGCAACGGTGTTGACTATGAGTTACCGCAGCCTGTGGTGTTAACTATAAGCTGCTACCTACGCACGCACGCCCTCTGGCATAGGCCATTCTGCCAGAGGGCAGATGACGGATGTGTAGCTCAATGCTGCTAGTCCAGCATCGTGATGTCTGTAAAAATCAGTTCCGTTGTACAAAGTGACCTTCAAATCTCGTTCACGCGTGGGATGTTTCTACGCGGATCAGGGATGAGGTCCTCGAGAGGGCAGTGGTGAGAAAACTCAACCAGGAAGCTGTGAATTGGGATACCAAATGAGGTGGTATTTCAGAAAGAAATATTAATTATCCATATAATAATAAAAATTAATATTAATTAAATATTTTAAAAAATGAATATACATTTTAAAAACTGATAAAATTAACAGTGTCATGTTCTCCGTGATGATGGTAAATTCAAAATATTTGCTTTGAAAGATATTTATTCATATCATAAACTTATTGGTTAGCTGCAATATTTTAAGAGAGCGAAAGAAGTATCGTATTTGGAGGAGTTTCGGCGTATTGTTTTTAATTGCAATAACTGAGTTGTCTGCAGTTATTTTTTCGCTTCTGTCGCCGGATACTTTTATGATAATTTATTTTACTTTTGGTATGTTGCAATATCAGTTTTTCGTGGAAGGGTTGAAAACTAATTGCGATCGTCTCGACTTTGTGTGATATTTTATATTTAGTATATACTACTTGAAAAATCATCAATACATCAAGAAACCTATGATTTTCGAACACAAATTTTCGTTATGACGGCTATAAACTAAATCCTCGAAAGTAGAAAAATAGATCAAAAATCTGAGCTGTCTCGAATGTCTGATCAGTTTAGTTCAGTTTAGCAAAGCCTTCCTACTCCTGAACCCTCTCTCCCAATTGCATTATTGTACTTTCATCATGAGATCTAAATCCGATTGAGCGCTATTCTAAGATGTCCACAATTGAGCAGGTATCTAGTTTCCTATCAATAATTACGCTATGAGACTTGGTCACGCAGTCCCATAACCCGTCATTATGTAGGCTATAGGAATATTACACAGCATAGAAATTAGTAATGGCATCCTGTTTGAGATAAAATATTGGGTTTGCACAACGGTCAACACCATAGTGAAAATGCTCAATGAAGAGAAAACACAACAATTGATGACAATGCTCTTTAGTATTTGAAATTCATGTTCTTCTTGCGCTCCAGTGGATTTTGTTATTTTCTGTACAGTGTCTGGAACATCAGAAAGAAAACTGAGTAGAGAAGCCTGGTTCAGCCAAACTAAAAATACTGAGTCTCCCTAAACAAAAAACGGGACTCTCGCTGCGAAATATTCTTTCGTTACTAAGTAAATGAGACAGCTAATTGGCAACATGA